ATCAGCACACAAAATGTTTTCTTCCTTGAAGACCTGCCATGAACTTTCGAGGACAATTCGTTGGCCTGATTTTTGAATTTATTGTTAACACTGAATTTACTCGAATACTGTGTTAGTGTAATAGTCCCAACATAGAAGCAACAGACTCTCGTATAATCCGTAGAATACGGTGGCCGAGAGCGGACATAAAAAAAATCAAAGTCAAAAATGTCAAAAGTTCAAAAGTCAAAGTTATTTAGGGCCATATTACAAAGTGAGTTTGCCTTTTAAATCAATTTCCTATTGTTATTTTGTCACAAGACATTTCGACATTTCGTCTCAAGGGACTTTGTCGTCCAGCATTTTGTCATGAAAGACTTTCGCTTTTCACATTTTATCGTCCTGCATTTTGTCATGAAAGACTTTCGCTTTTGACATATCTCCGTTTGGCCTCCGACATTTTGTCTTCAGGCGATTTGTCAAMSGACCAAAAGCAAAACAGCGAAAAATCAAACTCAGATTCAAAGCTCCCAGGCGTTCCTCTTAATAAACAAAGTTAACCCACGCTCTATAGCATATAGTTCGCGTATACGAGCTTGATAGAACTCGAAAGATCATTCATCTGCCAAAACAAAACGATGTAAATTGATCAAGAAACTTGTAAACAACAATATTATGATAATTAATTTCCTAGTACATGTTTTGTAACTTTATTTCCAATATTATTTGTTTTAACTTGATAGTTGACAATAATGGGACAAGACTCTGTGAAATCTATCATGCAAGTCGCTCATTTGAAGAACTACCATACCAGTCCAAACACTTTGTGTTGCTGTGAGAATATTAATGTTCGATGTCTATAAAATATTGATAATCGTCCTTAATGCCTTGAAGTCCTATGGAAAGTTTAGATTAATTTTAATTGAGAGTATTTTAAAATAAATATGCTCGAATATATCCAATTGATGCCGGATGAAAGTTATCGGACATAGTATGGATGAATAAAAATTTCTGGAGGAGTTTTATTCTCTCGCAAAAAGAAATCCCTATATTTTTTTAGATTAAAAAAGCCGAGAGATTCAAAATAGCCCTTCTCAATTTTGTACATTTGGTGTACCTAGTGGCGTGCCTAATGTAGTACCCGATGTATGTTGCGACTGGTTATGAATGATCTTGCTTGCTTACGCGTACTACATAGCGTGGGTTACCYTTTTTTATTAAGGGGAACGCCTGGGAGCTTTGAATCTGAGTTTGACTTTTCGCTGTTTTGCTTTTGGTCGTTTGACAAATCGCCTGAAGACAAAATGTCGGAGGCCAAACGGAGATATGTCAAAAGCGAAAGTCTTTCATGACAAAATGCAGGACGATAAAATGTGAAAAGCGAAAGTCTTTCATGACAAAATGCTGGACGACAAAGTCCCTTGAGACGAAATGTCGAAATGTCTTGTGACAAAATAACAATAGGAAATTGATTTAAAAGACTTGTAATTAATTTAAATCACTTTGTAATATGGTCCTAAATCACTTTGACTTTTGAACTTTTGACATTTTTGACTTTGATTTTTTTTATGTCCGCTCTTGGCCACCGTAGTAGAATGCTAACACTGTCCATCATGCATTCGAATTCAAAGTCAGGAAAGTTTTATAAGCTCGAACCAAAGTAAATTTAATATCCATTCACTAATGCCCATAGAAGTTTGAACTAATATTCCAAAGTCAATTGTACCTGGTAGTAGCACTAAGAATGATACAGTGCTTTTGCGAGATACATCCAAAATGTCGGACAACTTCGAGAAGGTGCGATCAAACTGCCTAGCTTTGCTGCTGGGTTTTATATCGCTCCTCAGAGTCAGGGAACTCTAGCAGCGCTCTAAACATTACTACACAAATTATTTTACGTCGAATATTTTATAAATTTCAGACAGTTTTCAAAGGAATTTTTAAAAATTGCATCTGGAGTAAAATTTGATGACTGCTCGATTGTTCGGAATAGTTCGCGGTTTCGACAAGACATGCATAGCTTCCTTCATATTTATATCGCAAAAATAGAATTGCACCAAATAAAAARAAACTAAAAACAAGTCGGCGGAAATCAAAATGAAAAGGTATCTACATCAAATTCTATCAACGGTAACATAGCGGAAAAAAGATGGAGAAAACCTTGTGCAATAAATCGAACACGCTTAAATGACTAGCAAAGGATTCAATGGTTGCCGTAGAAAGTTATCATCTTGTTCAAAAAGTCCAAGAATTAATTCACTTGTTTCCTTATTGCGATTTAATCCATCGATATAATCTTATATATGTATATAGAGTTATCTTTTAGTCTATTTTTYCTTCTTACCTTATTCTATCGACGAAAACCCCGCCGGACCTAGACCCCTGACAAAAAACGATGGCCGTACGTGCARCAATTCAGCAAAGTAGTATATTTCTTCCTTCATTCGCTCTTTATATTGCGTTGCTAGCACTGTTATCATGGTGCGTTTTGATTGGCTGCTAAAATCTTGGTATGACAGCAGCTAGAATTCTTGGAAGTTGCAGGGGATCGCGCGCGCGGTTCATCATTGCAACGATATTTACTGCGCGCTTCACGCGGGTTTTTATCTTTTGCTTATTTGATTAATTAGCCGCGCAATGTAGTTAAAAATCAGTAATATTTCATCGAT